CGTGATTAAACTAAGCTTTCAATGGCTAAATAAAACTGAAATGTCGATCAAAAAAATAGCAGTTGTAATTTGGTTTGGTAAAAACTATATTCAACACAACTTGTAGAACAGGTTGTTTTTTCCAAAAATATATGTCATAGAGACATTAGCATATTAAACAAAGCTAAAGCTGGCTGCCCCTGAACCACAGGGAACCCAACAAAAGTACTGGCCCTAAAAAAACTGAACTCTTACAAACCTTTGAAATATTGTAATTCATTGGTTCTTTGTCTTCCTGATGCAACGGTTGCTTTGTGTATGTATGACGTTCACTCGTTTTCTGGACTTGCGGCTAAGAAAATGAATCAAGGAATATGATAATTAGTTTTTATTCAAAAGGAGGAGATTTTACTTATTTTCATTTCTGATTTGGGAGGGGTAAAAACCTTTCGACTTTTCCAATAGTGGCAAGGACTTAAGGACGTTCATGGGCATCGTTCGCGTGCATCATTTCTACGCATAAATTTAGATCGCGCGCTCTAGATCACTCATTTTGATGACGTAATTCCAATGATTTGATAAGTAAAATATCGGGAAAACATTTTAAATCTCTTATAGCTCTATAACAAAGTCGGGGACCCCTCTTTTTTATTCGGCTCCCATATGTATAGGTGTTATGAGCCTTTGTAGACAGGTTTAGGATGTGAGGAATAGAAGAGAAGAGAAGAGAACAGAACAGAACAGAACTTTATTTGTGCCCTCTGATTTGCAGATTAATTGGTACAATTTTGAGAATTATAATAAAACATTTGAGGAACCACTTGCTACCCAAAATATCAATTGGTAGCAATGCTAATCAAGTTAGGTAGCAAATTGGTCATTTGGTACTGTTATTTGATAATTGTTACAAGAATAAGTATAGAAATAGGAAAATCCAAAGACAAATGTAATTGGATTGGAGTAGAAAAATGAAGAAAAAGAAAAAGAAAAAGAAAAGCAATAAAGGAAAAAGAAAAAGAAACCATGGGCGAAGAGTAGTGCATCAGAGTAACTAGTGAGTTTTTAAAATTTGAACTATTATACGTTTTTTAAAACCTGAACGTTTAGCTCTTTTTAATTCATCTTTGATCTTGTTCCAAGTAATGGCACCGACGTAACGGATATTAAATTTACCAAAATTAGTTCTTATTTTGGAAATGTAGAAAGAATCTTTTGAAGCTAATCGTGTTTTGTAGGTATGTATTTTACTTATGGGTAACTGATGGCAGAGTGTTTGAGTGAAAATCATAC